ATTCATAGGTGTGCAAAAAGCCACTATTTTGAAATGTTGCTTATACGGAAAGTTTCTGCATGACGATTCCCGTAATCGTCAAACAATATCTAATAATGTTCGTAAAACTAAAATTATATATTTCTAAAAACAAGATATAACTATGTATATTGTATATATACATGACAATAACAATAAAACCTTTTGTTAAACACCCACAAAGAACAGAAAATATATTTTCTTATATCTTATATTTTTATCTTATATTTTTGTGTACAAAAATATAAGAAAGTGTACAAGAGATGGCGTTATCACTTAAAGAGCGATTTCTTCCAGGCAACTTTAGGTTTAGATAATTTGTGACTATTAGTTTTTACGGGACTCTATTAAGTGGTAAGAGGTCGTAGTAAGGGTTTCATACCTAAATACTCCTTTTAGGCTGGGCTGTCCGGTCGACCGTTTGTCTGTCTTACATGATATATGGTTTTAAAGTTTTCTTTGCATCTTAAACGTTATGTGACCAAGTAAAAGATAAGTAAAATAGATAGTATACTACTCGCTAAACCGAAATAGATTTGACAAGAGCTAAAATTGCTTAGGAAGATATTATGAATTTTTGTGTTATTATACCTTGGATAGTGAGTCTAAAATCAAGAGGCTTAGATAATATAATATTCTATAATCACTATTATTTGATATACTAATAGAAAACTAAAGAATGTATGGATATAAAATATCTAAACGTATATACAACTAGCGACTTCGCTCGGGTGCGTCCCTACTTACAGTTTATTTTTTTTAGCGGAACCCTAATTCTCTCTAAAGTAAAAGTAGCCTAAATTACTCCTTATAACATTAGCTATCTGCCAGGGATAAGTCCCGTCAAAATCAGTCCAGCCGTTTCGGAGATTAGCTGGAATAGACAGACAGATAAAAATCTAAAAAATTGTGTTTTTCTAATAAGTACTGTATATAATTTCATATGCATTAGGTAAAAAGCTGTTATTTTGACATTACAAACAGACACTTCAATTTTATTTATCTGTATATATATATATATATATATATATATAAAGGCACTTGGCCTCTATCATCATTATTAATCGTTTCCATATTCAATAATTATTACTATAATGTGGGTAGACGTGAGTTGACGGACGAAGAGAATAAAACGACGCTTCACAAATCATACACAATATAATCACTAATTATAATCCCTTTTACAATTGTTCATTAACACTTCACAATTCTTAACAGTTCTTAATTTCAATTAAAAATTCAAACACAGACACTCCACCGAACACGTAATGTAACGATGCGATGCGAATCGAATGACAAAAGTAATGTCCGTCTCGACTCACACGCTAATGCTCACTAGCGCCCGGGGTTGTGTCAGAGTGTCGAAACGTCACTCTCAAAAATGTCAATGCGCCGTCACGGCCGGACTGACGATAGCACGCCCTCGTGCCTCTTCTCACCTCGCTGTTCTAGTTAATCTGCAAAGATAAAACATCATGTTTTTTCCAGTACGCTCGCTCATCCCTGACTCAATATAGTTACTGCGAAAATTTTATGTCTCATGTCATGTGTGACTTTCCATTTCACCTATAGAATGGACCGGATAACTGAACATAGGCGTCCCTTCGACTAGCCAACATTCGCAATGCTGACATAGACCGGACAACCCCTCAGCGTCCCTTCGACCATCTAACACAATCAGACTTCATATACGCGACCGGTAATCTGATCCGAAACATCGACCTACATAAGCCAGTTTCCTTGACCGATTACCGTCTCCAGTACAACACCACAAACACTCTACTACAGTCTGTCTTAGAACATCGACCCGCATGAGCCAGTTCTAACGCCCAGACACTTCTCGAACCCATTAACTTCAGTATGTCACACATGAGCACATATATTAAGAAAAATGACAGAGTAACATTAAACAAGGCTCTACTATCAAGTAAACTTACGATTTAGTTTTCATCACGCTCAGAGGCTGAGAGGGTCCCCGAACTAGCGGTAAGAGTTTGCGAACTAGCTATAGACATTGTATCACTATCATCGTCAGATGGTACCCCCTCATTCTCTTGACCGTGGATCGCCGTCTCGGCTTCCTCCGCATTATTAATTAAGATAGTAGCTGCTTCAACTAATCCACTATAGCCTTCGGGTACGGCACGTAAATTTTCATGGGCATATTTATAAGTTCTGTTAGATCCATCAATGTCCCTGAGCTCATACCTATCATTATCTAACACTCGCGAAATAACAAAAGGTCCTTTAAACTTTCGTTGCAGTTTCGTTTGATTACGTTCGCTACATTTTATAAAGACGAAATCCCCTTGCATAAAAGGTTTTACTGTTGCTCTACCGCGGTTGAAACGTATAGTATCAGCAGTGGCAGTTTTTTCAATGTTTGAAGATGCATCCTGACGAATTGCGTTTAAGTCTAGACGAGATTCGGGCTCTGAGTGCGGTAATATGCTAGACATTCCCAAGGACTGTGCTCGTATGCCAAACATCAATTCTGTTGGTGTATATCCGGTTACTCTAGAACGCGTCGAGTTAAGAGCTAGCTGTACCTCCGGGAGTTCGTCTCTCCATGTTTTATTGGTTTCGTTTTCTACTATTGTAAGTAAGCATTTCAAAGTCCTCATCACCCGCTCAACTTGGCCGTTAGCCCTGCTAGAGCCAGTAGCAGTAAGGTGAAGCTCCATGTTATGATCGCTGCAGAATTGTTTAAAGTCTGCGCTTATATAACACCGACCCTGATCAGCAATAATCCGTTTTGGGGCACCGAACAGACAGACAGCTTTTCTAAGAGCTTTAATGGCACTTGCCGCATCAAGTGAGGGTGTATACTCAAGTAGGACATATTTTGTGAAGGAATCGATTATGACTGAGGCGTATTCTTTCCTATCACTCTTTCCACTGAGTTTCCCTGTCATGTCGATATGTATTGTATCCCATGGTGTTGCTACTTTCGGTATTGGGTGGAGTTGTACCTGCTGAGCCCCTGAACAACCCTTTGAGGCTTTGCAAACTATGCAAGATTCAATAAATTTACGAACTTGCTTAGCCATCTGTGGAAACCAATATTGCTCATATATTTTGTCAAGGGTCTTTTCAGCTCCTAGGTGCTTAATTTCTGTATGCACATGATTAATCAAAGTCCACGTAAGAGACCTAGGTACGACTGGCAACCAAAAAGTAGTCTTGTTACGTTCTATCTTCCTATAAAGAATGCCTTTTCGGACATCGTAAGTATGCGCAACTAATTCTGGTAAATCTTTGTCATTGTACTTACTGATAAGATCTTGAATCTCTCTATCGCGTTTCTGTTCCACAGAAAGCCAACCCTTATGCAACTCTACAAAATGAACATGCTTACCTTTCTTGGATAAACCAGAGTCATCATTTGTATGAGAGGGTCCAGGGGCTGGTTCTGAAAGTGGATTTCTTGACAAGAAGTCAGCATGTTCCATACTCTTTCCCTGTTTATGCACAATATCAAAATCATACGCTTGCAAGAAAGCCCACCACCGATGAACACGCGGGGTTAAATCAGTTTTCGATTTAGACGCTTTAAGAGAGTTGCAGTCTGTAAATACTGTAAAATGCTGACCATACAAGTAATGGCGAAAATTTTCTACAGCTCGAACAACAGCCAGCGTTTCCAACTCATAAGAGTGATATCGCGATTCTGTGTCTGTTGTTCTGCGGCTAAAATACGAAATAACATGAGGTGCACCATTCTTTCTTTGAATGAGTATCGCGCCATATCCTTCCGAACTTGCGTCAGTGTGCAGTTCTATTGGTGAGTCCCTATCAAAAATTGTTAAAACCGGTTCTGTAGTAAGTATATCAACAATCTTTTTGTGAATCTCACTGTGTGTCTCTGACCATTTAATTGGGCCTTTTAATTTTGTTAGTGGGTACAAGGGTCCCACAATACGGGTGAAATTAGGAATAAAACGTCTAAAGTAGGACGCAAGCCCCAGGAACTGCCTAACATGTGTAGCTGTTTTAGGTGTGGGAGCGTTTGCTAAAGCTTGCACTTTTGTAGGATTTGGAGTTACCTTTCCCGCTTTTATTACATACCCCAGATAATCAATTTCCTTTTTCAAGAATGCACATTTCTTAATATTAAACGAGAAGCCCGCGTCAGAAAGTGCTTTTAGCGTGGAATCTAGGCGCTCCAAGCCCTTTTTAATGTCATCAGAGTAGCATAAGACATCGTCCATGTAGGCTAATGCCACGTTATCTTTTAAGGGACCTAGTGCTTTATTAATGCACCTTTGATAAACAGATGCTGCATTTCGAAGCCCGAATGGCATTGCCAGGTACTCATACTGTCCTTCCGGGGTCACAAATGCCGTTCGTGCTATGCTATCGGGATCTACCAATATTTGGTGATAACCAGACGCCATATCTAATGAGGAAAAGTAATGGGCACCATGAAGACGATCTATTTGTTCGTCAATTCTTGGCAATGGGTAATGTTCGGGTCGTGTATTAGAATTGAGCTCCCGATAATCTACGCACATTCTATCTGTATTATCCTTTTTTTTGACCAACAAAATCGGGCTAGCGAAAGGAGAGTGACTTTCTCTAATGACACCTGCATTTAAAAGAGCTTCAACTTTCTGTCTGACAATTTCTTTTTCCGCGGGGGCTAATCTATAGGGGCGCCTTTGTACAGTTTTAGTGGGGTCAATCGGATCTATTCGTAATACACCTGTAGAAACACGTCGTGTCGGAATGCCATCGATAAAGCAGTCGCTGTATTTTTGCAGTATTTTAATTAGAGCAATTTTATTATCACCGTCTAGATCTGTATTTAGAAAATTAAAATAGTTCGGTTTTTCAGTTACACTAATATCTTTACGTAATGAAAATATAAGATGGTCATTATTGATTTCGACATGAATGTTATTTTCTAATAAATCTCGACCTAAAATTACGGGCTCTGCAATGGTGCCGTCCGGTACTATATGAAATAATACTGATAATTAAATACCTTGTACATTGATGGAACTAAGAACTTGTGAATTACATTTTACATTTTCTCTACCTATTCCTGTTAAATATACCAAATTATTTTCAATCGTACCCGAAAACTTTTTAGAAAAGCTACATGTGACTAACGAACAAGCAGATCCACTATCAAAAAGAAATGAAACGGGCTCACCAGATGATGTAGTTAACGTGCTCATCGATGATTTGCGCTCGCAGATGTTGACCTCCTTGACTATCTGTGCGCTGCTCCCTCCTTTTCTTTCTGGGCATGTTGACGCGAGGTGCCCCGACTGTCCACATACATAGCACGTAATCACTCGCGTCTTATCAGGTATTCTAAACGATTGGCTTGGTGTCTTTTCTACGGAACTAGGGTCTTCGCGCTTTTTACGGCAGTCAATAGCTCTATGTCCTGGCACACCGCAACGGTGACATGCTCCCGTAAAGCGACCTTCATTAAAACGAGTCCTTTTAACTTTAATTTCTTGGCTGTCGTTACCATCATGCCTCCGCTTTAATGATATTCCATTTAGAATGCGAAAGAGTTGAGATCTAGTTGCCACATTATGAGAATGAAGCTCCCTACGAATAATGACATCCTTTTGACTCAACACTGACGCTACAAATCCTGTGATTATGTCTTCAGCCATCTCCGTACGGGGAATGCGTTCTATAATGCTCCATAGTCGTATCGCCGCCTCACATGCCGATTCTTTTAGGCCTATTTGAAATCGAAGCACTTCATCGAAATAATCCTGTGGTAACATAGGCTTAGCGAACTTTGCCAATAGAATTTCTTTTATTTGCAACCATGTTAGTTGAGATGGTTGTAGTTTGGTGAGACAAGAAGCGGCCCGTCCCTTAAGGGCATGTGTAAGCAATAATAGTAATTCCGCACCTTCTAACTTCTTGCTATCAACAATGATTTCGGTCACTTTACACCAACCTTCTATGTCCGCATCCACACAATCAGGGTCAAACTGAATCAATTGTATCGGAGGATTACTCGTAGGTTGCGCATGAGTAGCCGCTAATAATCTAGTTAGTAACATTTCCATATTCTGTAGAAAGCTGGGTTCCTGCGATGACGTCGACGCTTTATTACTTTGCATATTCTCTTCAGATCTTTGTCCTGCAAATCCCACTTCTGATAAAGGCACTTGGCCTCTATCATCATTATTAATCGTTTCCATATTCAATAATTATTACTATAATGTGGGTAGACGTGAGTTGACGGACGAAGAGAATAAAACGACGCTTCACAAATCATACACAATATAATCACTAATTATAATCCCTTTTACAATTGTTCATTAACACTTCACAATTCTTAACAGTTCTTAATTTCAATTAAAAATTCAAACACAGACACTCCACCGAACACGTAATGTAACGATGCGATGCGAATCGAATGACAAAAGTAATGTCCGTCTCGACTCACACGCTAATGCTCACTAGCGCCCGGGGTTGTGTCAGAGTGTCGAAACGTCACTCTCAAAAATGTCAATGCGCCGTCATATATATATATATACATATATATATATATATATCGTAATCATATTTTTTTTAGTTTTATATTTGCCACATAGTTTATAGAAATCAAAATACACACCTAAAAAAGAAAAAAAATATTAAATTTTTATAGCTGTTGCTCACTTGTCATGGCTTGATTATGTTATTTCAACTAAAAAGCACTTTGTCATTTGAAACCAAATCCAAGCATTTCTTACAAGCCTCTTATCTCATTCTAAATCATTTACTTCATAAAACATTTGAAGACCCCTCAAGTTATTATGTGCCTTTTGTCGCATAGAGTAATGAATTTAAGGGCATCAAATGAAATATGGAACTTTTTCCTGTTACAGCATCTTTTTTTACATTAATAACCTTCATTCATTTTACTTTGTAATTACAAAAGATGGATGTTTCTAAATGACTTTTTAATTCAAAAACTTCTAAATTCATATGCATTGGGTGTAAACTCCGCCTGCAAAACCTGAAATTATTTGCAACTAGCATTGCCCACGGCTTCGCCCGCGTTCAGATTACCAAAAACCAAATTCGTAGGTTTTACGTATTAGTATACTCTTACAATGCAGTTTTTGTATTTTTTCTCAGAAATGAGATATATTCCTGCGGTAATAAGTATCCTATATGTTGACCCGGATAACCAGCTATCACCAAACCAAATTTCATGAAAATCCCTCCAGTGTTTTTTCCGTGATGCGGTAACAGACAGACAAGCAAAAATTCTTAAAACTATAGATTCGACCTCTATCGACAATAATGCCTATTTTAATAAGATTTTCCGAAAAATATTTAATGTAGTGATTTGGATCTAAAACTATTTTCAAAGACAATTATTTTAACTAGTCTGGAATAGCGCATAGTTTGCTTTACTCTAGAACAAGAGTCTATAACTAGTATATTTCCATTTAAAAATATAATTTTATTTGTTGTATATATAATATTTTTAAAGTATTTTTTATAGTAAAACAAGTTAAAACTTCAAATAAACTCAACTGAAAACAATAGAATGCAATTTGATTGCTTCTATGATTTATTTCAAGCCAAGTTTAAGAAATGTAAATCAAAACTTCTCTTTAAATTAATCGAGACAAGTATGATATCTGCTTACATCAAAAAGGTTTTGAACCCACGACCTCAACAGTACCTATACAAAAGCTATATACATCAATATATGTAGAGTATAAAAGAATCCGTGCGGCCACAACGCATTAAAGCTCACCCTCGACGAAATCCCTCGGAAAAATATAATGAAATAGCCCGCTCTAATCTCACGCTTGTGTTGGGCAGATAATGATGTCGCCGTGACGTAAGCCTATAGTATAAGTGACAAGAATTTGTTTGTATTTGTTGTTGTTTGAATTCTTTAAAGGAAGGCAATGAATGATATGTATGGTGAAATCGAAAATAGTAGCTTAAACGTCAAGTCATGCTACCATTTTTTTTACTATGATATTTGTTGTTCTTTAGTTTAAAATTAATACAAAGAAATCCCCAACTGGCCTACAAGCCACATACTCGTAACAAAGAATTGAGTTGAAAAAGTATTTTTTTTATTAAACTCAACTGAAAATTGTATTATATGTGTTTCTAATTTTTTACCACTTGGTACTGATGTTTAAAGTGTTTGTAAATATGCAAAATAATTAAAATAAATTTTCTTTATAAGTAACTAGCGACTCACCCTCGCTTCCCAATACAAACTTTCATCCTCATTTTTACACCCTTAAGGGGTGATATCCGGGGAAAATCCTTCCCAGGGTCTCAAACTATCTTCTTACGTTTCATATAAATCGGTTCAGTAGATCCAGAGATTACAACGTCACAAACCCAGAAACTCACAAAACGACAAACTCACAAACTGTACCTCTTTATAATATTAGTACCTATAGATTACTATAGACATAAAGGTGGATATTTTTCTTTAAACTTATATCATTAACAACATTACCTATTTAAATAAAACTATCTTTTAGGATATTTTCGCGGATTTATTTTGATTTTTGGTTCCCGGCGTTTCGAATGCTTTACACATGGTCACGGGAGAGACTAAGGTGTTAGATGTCTCAAAGGCATTATATAGTCGTTACAGACAATCGGTACTTAAATTTTGCCAAAAATATTTGTATGAATTAAGTATTTTAGTTGCTTGATAATTTTTCGAAGTGGACCAAGAAATCCAACCGTTGCATCAAAAAGAGTCAGTGCAAATAATATTTTTTTTACTTAAAATATTTTAAATAAGGACTTCATTTACCCTAACTTTGAGTTTTTTAATATCTTAACTTTTTAAGTTAAACTTTTTTAACCTAACGTTTTTAATTCATAATTAATACGCCGTATGGGGGCGTCGCTGGGTAGATTATGCACTCAACTCGGACGCCCCGGCGGCAGGCCGAAGCAGTCCATAACAACCATGGGGTTGCTCCAACAGTCCACTCTGCTATCAGACAAAAAAGTAAATGCACGTTGGGGGGAGGGGGTTGCATGGCATTCTCTAAACTAAGCTCAATCCCGAATTTTAGGAGTTAGATGTTCATGTGAAAGAATCATACATCTTGACTTGCTATATTTTATGATTACCCAATTTAACCACCATGGGGTTGCTCTAACAGTCCACTAATAGAATATTATTATTACCCAATTTAAACATTAAGGTGATCAATCTACTTTAATACTTCTATGAGATAAAATTCTTTATTGTCCATTCCTCCTATAACTTGTGGCAGTTTAACGATTTTCGCAAGTCGCTTATATCGGATTCAGAGTAATATAATTTCTTCGATTATGACCTTTTTTAGGTTTTCAGCCAACAATGATGGAATACTAACCTTTTTTTGTTTCAAGAAATTGCTCTATAACGAATTCAATTTACTTAACAGTCCTCCTCCGTCTAGAAATTCTTAAAAAAACCTTAAAGACTGTTTTTTTTTATATTGATCATAAAGGTTCAAAATCTATCTAAAAAATACATTGACATAACAAATATATATATATATATATATATATATATATATATATATACATATATATATATATATATATATACACATATATATATATATATATATATATACAAAAGAAATATACACTTAATTGTTACTGCACAAGTCATGTCCGGGAATATGGCAAGAATATTATCCGTTCCCCCGTTGAATGACAATACTGATTCTTTGGACGGAAACCAAGCCAGCTCTCTTGTCACCAGTAAAGTCTATAAGACGAGATGTTATGTCTTTTAAGAAGTGTTTAGCACTTTGAATCCATGGGTTAAAGGTTTCTACAGAAAATGGTATAAAGGTATAATTAGACTAAATGAGACGTACTCGTATTTACGAAAGTTGAGTAGTTCAGCATTTTCCGCTGCGATCCCTGCTGTAAACGGCGTCTCCTTGACATGGGACGGGGACCATGTAACGCATGTTACGTTCCATAACAAGGCCTCTTTCTCAAGTAAAAATTAAATGTCAAATTAGTATTTTCATGATACGAGTATAGCCATTAACAGCATTAGATCAAATACTCGTTGTAACATCTATGATGCATTTGGTTTAATATTGTCCATACAATAATATCCATCTTTCCAAAAATTCAACAAACAGGAAGCGAACTCCCGACTTATACATAATGTAAGCATTTTAATAAAACCGATATTATAATATCCTTCCGACAATCATGCATTAAGCGAAATCAACATTTTAAGCAAATCTCTACGTGAGAATATCACGACGAAGGCAATGAAATATTGAAATTATTCAATTTAACCACAGAAACGTGACGAACTATGTTTGGGAAATATTTGAAATAAAAAATGTATAATCAAAAAGTTATTTGGAAATAATATGTTAGTAACGCTTAAAAATTAATAAACTCGCGTAAATAAAAATATAAATGTTCGTTTGTGTAAACCGATTTTCCATACGTTCTTTAATACATAAAAAAAAACATAAGTATATGTAAATTACTAACTACAACAAAACTATTTTATAATACTGATCTAAAATATTAACGTTCTGAACGATCGAGAGGGTCTTATTATTAACGTAAAGTTAATCGAAAATGAAGGCCTCCTCTAGAATAAATTCTATATAGGTCAATATTTTTTTTTAGTTAACTAAAAACCGACTTCAAAACACTAAAAAGTAAAAAATAATTGAATAGGAGTTTTCATTTACGATAGGTGCCAGCCGACAACACTTTTAGATATGAATATCTAATATGTAAATATGACAAGGCAGAAATTTAATAGTTTAAAATATGATACATCAACTTGTAATGTAAGCTTTACTTTGATTTGTATTGACTGTGTGGTATATATTCTTCAAATTTAACTGGAACCAAAGTGAAAGTTAAAGCTTTCAAACAAAAAAAAATTGTCCAAATCCATACATATAATAAAATTGTAACCAACCCAAATCTGTACATTAAATATTTTTTGGAAAATCTTATTAAAATAAACATTATTATCGATACAGAAGCCTAATCAATAGTTTTTAGAATTTTTGTCTGCCTGTGTGTCTGTCTGTCTGTTACCGCATCACATAAAAACCACTGGAGGGATTTTGATGAAATTTGGTATGGCGATAGCTGGTTATCCAGAAAATGTCTCATTTCTGAGAAAAAATACAAAAACTGCAATGTAAGAGTACACTAATATGTAAAACCT